TACTTTGCGTTTGTGATTGTCGATGACTACTCTAGGTTTACATGGACCTTGTTTCTAACTCATAAAAGTGAGGCATTTCATGTTTTCAAAAATTTCTTAAAGAAAGTTCAAAATGAAAAAGAAACAACCATAGTAGCCATAAGAAGCGACCATGGGGGAGAGTTCGAACGAAATCTGTTTTCAGATTTGTGTGACGAACTTGGCATTGATCATAACTTCTCAGCCCCACGTACACCACAACAAAATGGAGTGGTGGAACGTAAAAATAGATGTCTCGAAGAGATGGCTAGAACTATGATCAATGAGGCAAAAATCCCTAAGTATTTCTGGGCGGATGCCGTGAGTACCGCGAGCTACGTGTTAAACCGAGCCGTCATTCGAGCGATACTCATGAAAACGCCCTATGAACTATACAAAGGGAGAAAGCCAAACCTTTCCCATCTTCAAGTCTTTGGTTGCAAATGTTTTATTCACAACAATGGCAAAGACAATTTAGGCAAATTTGATGCCAAGTCGGATGAAGAAATTTTTCTGGGTTACTCATTACGTAGCAAGGCCTATAGAGTCTTCAATAAACGCACCTTGACTATTGAGGAGTCTCCTCACGTTGAATTTTCCGAAGATAATCCTCGCTTGGCGAGAAAGGATATTTGTAACGATCTTGCAGATTCATTAGAGAGAATACACGTTGATGACGATGAGGAGAACACTGGAATTTATACCAACACACAGCCACAAACTGAGGAAATACCTCAAGAAGCTAACCAAGGTGATGAAGAAAGACAAGAGGAAGAAGAACAAGCGGAACACGAAGAAGAAGAAGAAGCAACCGAGCTTCCTATTGCATGGAGAACAAACAAGAACCATTCGCTTGACCAGGTAATCGGCAGCATCAACCGCGGGGTAAGTACTCGTAACTCACTTAGGGACACCGTAGGACACATGGATTTTGTTTCTCAAATTGAACCTACAACCATTTCCGAAGCAATAAACGATGAACATTGGACCTTGGCTATGCAAGAGGAGCTAAACCAATTCAAACGAAATGACGTTTGGGAATTGGTGCCAAGTCCCGATGATCGTACGATTATTGGTACGAAATGGGTGTTCCGTAATAAACTTGATGAAAATGGAATAATCACTAGAAACAAAGCTAGGCTCGTAGCTAAAGGCTACAATCAAGAAGAAGGCATTGATTTCGAAGAAACTTATGCACCCGTAGCACGTTTAGAAGCTATTCGCTTACTTCTTGCTTTTGCTTCGTCTATGGATTTTAAACT